GAGGCCACAGGCAGGCCAGCCTTTGGTGGAGACACGTCGGGCCCACGACTGCATCAGGGAAACAGCAGGGGACCTGGAGGGACCCCAGGAACTTCGGCTCTGCAGAAGCCGCCCCACAGTGTTCGGGGATGGCATGTGTCGAAGCTCCCTGAGTGCTCACGCAGTCACTGTGTGTAAACTCTGCTCCAGAAGGGGAAACGCTGTGAATAGGCATTGACCTAGGATGGACGGAGGATAGAAGGCTGGAGAAGTGGGCGGAGAAGTCGAGACAGGCGTCTGGCGAGACGTGACTGGCAGTTCTTAGTGGGTCCGGACAGGTGTTCGCTGTAAAATCCATTCTGTTTGCAATACATTTGGTGGTTTCTCCCCTTTTAATTCTTCCCCACATCTTCCCAACATTTCTCTGCAAAGTGCACCTTCTTACCTGAGAGCTAAAAAAGGCATGACGAGAGAGGCCCAGTGTCCATCCAGTGTTGTTTCTAAGGAGCCCTGTGTCAACAGAGGCATCCAGCTGTGGACTCATAGCTGAACCCAGGTCCCCGGGTGTATCATCAATGCCAGTGATGTCCCCTGCCTGCCGGGGTTGGACATGATGAGGCCACAGCGCTTCGTCCAACACATGACCAGCTCAGGGGTCACGCCTGTGGTGCAGCTGGAGAGGACATACACCCCCGTCGACCTAAGGCAGGAGTGGGGCAGGAGAGAGGGAAAGGAAGAATACTCAGACTTAAGATATAGAAGCAGAAACAGGACTGAAAAAAGTAAACATTCAAACTTTTAAAAGCTTGCTTGTCAGCCTGTAAAGAAACATCATTTGGTCTGCATGTCTATGGCCCAGATCTGACTTGCTTGGGGCTCCGCTGGCCACAGAAAAGGGGATGATGTCCAGACTGAGTCCACATTTGACGTGGGCGGCTGCACCATCAGCTCAAAACCCCAGAGAAGTGAGCTCTGACAGCTGATCTGCCTGGGACCCGATGAGTCTGAGGGTCGTGTCTCATCCCCTCCCATGTCCTGGAATCTGTGTGGAGCTTCAGTTCTCTTCCGTCACGGCTGAGACACATTTTAAATGTTTTTTAAGTTTCTAGACTCATTTTCCACCAGGTTGTCGTGTGCCTTCTGTTTTGCTCCAAGAGAGAATTCCTTTGTTTGTATGTGGCTGATTTTGCCAAATCCTGACGGGGTGGCTCCTGACTCGACCAAACAGAACGTGCCAGCAAGTTCAAAACCGGAGCGATGAGAACTAGCATCACTCAGCCCAGCCCTCCCTCCCAGGGAGCGTCTTGGAATTATCCCTGCAAGGCTGGTCACCCCGCCCTCTGATCACTGCAGACCACCCTTTCTCATGTCCTCTGCGGCCCCCAAACACGAGAACATTTCCTCCCCTCCCTCAGCGTGTCTCCCTGTGCCCCGGGGAGCCCCTCACCATGGCTGCTCTTCTCTGGGTGGGCTTACGGTCTGCCTCCCCTCCCCACCACCCCCAACAAAACAGGCCCAGCTGGTGGGGGTCTGGGGTTGAAGTGATAGCAAGTGACTCTGCTGCTGTCGTCCTTTGTCGTATCTCATCTATCAAGTCAGTGATTACTCAGCTGTTATAATTTAACCCGCGTCCTTACAAAGCATTGCTCATCAGAAACAGGGTGCAGCCAGGAAGCCTAACCCTGAGTCACAGCCCATCTGTGACTGCAGGCCACCCAGCAGCACTCCAGGTAGCAGAGACAAACAGCCCTGTGGGTCCAGACACAGATGCTGACCTTAAATGTAGAAGGAAAGGAACTGATGCTTTTAAGTGCCAAACAAGCATAAACTAAGCCAATTAACAGGGTGGTCATCATTAAAATATTCATAATATGGATACTTTAATATGAATCTAGAAGTTGCAGCTCCAGTAATTTAGACATGTTGGATACAATAAGCACATCAAGAAGTCTCTGAGAAAGAATTAGACATGCACACCCTCTGCACATCCAACCACCTTCTTCTCTTTACCTACCACCCACCCATCTGCCCACCTACCCATCCATCCAGTCAGCCACTCATCCCCCCGCTCACCCACCCATCTGCCCACCTAATCACCCATCCAGTCAGCCACCTATCCACGCACCCACCACCCTTCTTCCCACCCACCGATCTGCCCACCTACCCACTCACCCAGTCAGCCCTCCATCTGCCAACCCACCCATGTGCCCACACACCCATCCGCCCACCCACCCACCCACCCATCCCCTTACCTGGATTCCTACCCACCTGAAAGCACTAGGTGCATAAGAATGATGACTCAAATGCAATAAAATGATAGTATTTGGGGAATCTGGGTGAAGGGTTTACTATTACTTGTACTATTTTGCAAACATTTTTTGTAACTGATTATTTTAAAGTCAAACAATTTTTAACAAGCCCTAGAAGCTCACAGCCTCAAGCAGAATGAGGGCTCTGGTCCACGCTGCCCCCGGCCCCTGTCTGGATGCCACAGTCTGAACAGGGGGCGGTGGGGGGTGGCCAGAAAAGTCACCGTGGCCCCCATAGCCAGCACAGCAGTCATCATCAGAACTTGCACCCAGAGAGGGGCCTGCGGCTACTCCGCCACCCAGCGCCCAGGACAGCAGGTGACAGCCAGGGAGGGGCCACGTGGAGCCCTAGTGCTGAGGCCTCCCCTCTCAGAGCAGCTGTCGGAGGCCCCCTCCCAGCGGAGGTGCCCCCGTGGCCCCCGGCCCCCGAGGTCAGGGGGCCGCACCCCCCGCCTCCCCCAGGCCGGGCCAGACCCCGCCCGCGCCTGCCTCTTGACCGCGGCCTCCCTGCCTCCCTGGCGCCTCTGCCTGTGTCACAGCGGGTCCTGAGCACCTCTCATGCCCCCCACCACGCACATGCTCGCTGCATGCAACATTTTCTTGCAGCAATAATGACATGTCAACTTCCAATCCTCCCAGCAAAGACCCTGCGCTGAGGGCACAGTGCCTGGGCAGGGCAGGTTGTCCTAGAGAGATGCCCAGATGGCTGCTGTGATGCTCCCGGGGCTCCAGGGACCCTGCGCGTGACTCCCGCAGACCATCCATCCCTAGGACACAAGCACACCATCCCAGACAGAGAGCTGGCCACACGAGGCACAGAAAACAGAACGAGGGAGCCTTCCCACAGATGCGGGGTGGTGGGTGCCTGATCCGCCAACCACAAACGCACGGCCTCCTCCTCCCGCGGGTCTCTAGCTGCCCCTCCACTCCCGGAATGATCCGGCACCCCGGAACAAGGATTCCCAAACACCAGCTCAAGGTCAGGTCAACCACCTCGCTCATCAAGAATTCCAGAGTTGCCTGCAGCAAGGTAGCGGGAACAGGGGGAGATGGGCGCCCTCTGTGGCGTCTGAAGGGCAGAGTCGGCTTCCATGTGTTGCAATTCAACGTTTGAATCTCAGCTGTCCAAGACATGTTACGTGCACAGGCCTGCAGTCCACAGAATTCAATATGCAGTGTCACAAGGTTAAGCCTGCAGCCCGTAACCATTCGCTGATCTCCTCTCTCAGAGACAGCGTTTCCTCTAATTCGAGTCCTTTTTCAGTAACTATTGTTATTTCTCCCAGGGTTTGTTTTTCTTGTTGCCTGTGACTCCAATGGTCAGCTTTAGCTTTTCTATTGACTTCTGTGTCTCCCCAAAGCTTTATTTCTAGACATCATTTCCTTTTCTGTTAAAAGCTAGACATTCTGTAAGTGATACACCTCACGCTCGGACGTGACCCAGCCCCAGTGCTGTCTCAGGGGCCCTCAGGGAGATCCGCGGGCCTCCTGGGGGCCGGGCTGCGGGCCCTGACGCTCTTCAGCAGCATCTCAGACCCCCCAGCGCCCCTGCCTCTCGCCGTCCCCCCGCCAGCCCGGCTCCTCCGCAGCCCCTGTGTTCCTCTGACTGGAACCAATTCTCCTGGGAGGAGGCGAAGGTCAGGCCCCAACCTATGGCCCCAGGACTCTGCAGGGAATACACGGGGCCGCTCTGGAGCTGGCAGACGTGTGTGTATGTGTGTGTGTGTGTGTGCGTGCGTGTGTGTGTGCACATGTTAACTGCAGTAGGCAGGCACTTAAACAAAGGTTGGCCTCCCGCAGTTGTGAAAGCTGCCGAACCGGACAAGGGGAGGAGAAAAGGGGGCGCCCTTTCAGAGAGCCCTATGGACACCCCTGGGGGGCTCTGCTCTGACAGAGCAGACGGTGGGCGGGCCCCCAGCAAGCACCGCCCACAGCAGCCGGCAGAGTCCCCAAACAGACAGTTAGACAGACGGACAGCTACCGACCCTTAAATCCCGCTAAAGCAAGGCCGAGCCCTTGGCTGCCTCTACGCCAATTAAGGCTTTTTCAGAAAAGTGTTTTCACTACCAGCAGCTTCCCCCCACACGCAGGGCTGTGGGGCTGCCGGTCCCTGCTTGGAACTTCGAGAGAGACTCGAAGCCCGGGGCTCAACCGTCTGCCTGTCCATCCAAGCTTCTGGAACAGCCTCAGCTTCAACCTGGTGACACCAAACCCCTCACGACCAGGAGGTGGAAAGTCCTGTCAGAGTGAGTGTTCTAGAACCCCAGGGTCCAGTTGGCTGTTTCCCAGGCTTTCTGTCCTGAAATTCATTTGTTTCTATTATTTCAATAAAGCAGTTCACAATTGTCATAAACCCCTGAATCTAATATTGCAGAAATATTGTTCAATATAAAAGACAAAATCTAAGGCCCTCCATTACTATCTGGTCCATAGTTTCAAAGAAATCAGATACCTTATTTGAAAGTAATCTAAACAGGCATCTTAGTTGTGACTTTGCTGGCATTGGGACTTAACTTAGGGAAATACCCAAAAACTGTAATAAAATGTGATTTTGCCCTGATTGAAACTGAATACTGTTTGAAATCTTACAACCAAAACACCATGCATGGGCCTCACAGGCATTTAGGCTCGGTTCTTTACAAGCCACATCAGAGAGGGAAAACTATTAAATCCAAGGATAAAATAATGCCCCTCAGATTTGCTGCAGGTTTAATTATATTGATCTGCATGATGCTTCCTGCTGAAACAACTTCAGGTTAATAAACCAACAATGAATGTGACTGGGCTGATCCCATGGGCAACGTCCCCCTTCTGGGGTGACCAGCAGGTGACTGCCCGCACCTCCCGCCTTTGCACGACGGTGTTTGGAAACCAGCCTCTCTTTCCCACCTCTGTGGCTCCAGGGCTGCTGTTCAACAATGCTTAAAAGGTTCCCAGCTGTGCACAGATCTGCACAACAACTTCCATCTGGAGCTTCTGTCATCTCTCTAAGAGTCTCCCCTCAGGAGCCAACCCGCTGGTCTCTTTCTGTTAAAGCCCCGGGAGCTCTTTCCCCTTGGACGCTGTCACTGAGCCTGCACCTGCCTCAGGCTTCCCGCTCCGGCAGCAGCTCAAGTGCATGCGTCCAGTCACAGCCATGGGGATGCTGCGCCAGGGAGGCACAGGCTGCAGGCTCAGAACACATGTGGCTTTTGTCTCCCCTGCACTCATGCCATGCCAGCCACAAGTCAGCACGTGAGTTCTGTTTCAGCCATTTAATGAGTGTGCCGTGGTGTCATGCTGGGGTTTTATGCCGTTCTCCCTAATGAGTAACACTTTAGCCCTTTTTACTGTTTACATGCTGTCTGGATGGTTTTATGAAGGGCCTGTGTAAACACTTTATTTGCTGTGCATGTCTTTGAGAGATTTTTAGTTCTTCTTTGGATGAGATGCTTTGACACGTACATGTACGTAGAGATAAGCAGATACAGACAAAGCCTCCTGTTCTGTGACCTGCATTTTCACTTTCTTCACTGTGTCTGTTGATGAGCAGATGTTCTTAATCGCAACATCGCACAAGTAACAAGCCTGTTCCTCATGTTTATCGAGTGCATGCTTCCTGCTTAAGATGCCTTCACCTCCCAAAAGAGGAAGACATTCTCCTTGTTTTCTCCTTAAATCTTGATTCCTTCATCATCCACATGTGGACCTACAGTACCCCTGGAATGTGAATTTGTTTTTACATAAAATGTGGAAAGCATCAAAAATTCACTCTTTCCCACATTGAACCAATGAGCACACACATTTTATTTTTAAAAAGCCCTTGCCTGCAGTGAGGAGCCACCTTGTCACAGGTCGGGGGCAGTTTCTGCGTGTCTGTTTGCTCCTCTGGTTCCACCTGTCTGCTTTTACACCAGCATCATGGGTGCGTGTGTGTGAGTCGCTCAGTCCTGTCCGACTCTTTGCAACCCTGTGGACTGTAGCCCACCAGGCTCCTCTGTCCATGGGATTCTCCAGGCAAGAATACTGGAGTGGGTTGCCATGCCCTCCTCCAGGGGATCTTCCCCATCCAGGGATCGGACCCCTGCCTCCTGTGGCTCCTGCATGGCAGGCTGAATCTTTACCGCTGAGCCACCAGGAAAGCTCGCATCAGCATCACGCCGCCTCAATTGCTGTTGCTTTGCAGGAAGTCCTCCAGCTTTGTTTTCACACGTGCTCTGGCTATTCTGGGCCCTTTGCATTTCTGTATTATATTAGTTATTTATTATTTGAGAAACAAACCACCCAAAAGTCATCAGTGTAAACACCCTCATTTATTATCTCTGAGTATAAATCAGGAATCCAGGACCAGCTTCCTTGAGTGAAGGTAACCTCAGCTCTTGGACTCACCTTCAGAAGTGACATTCTGTCCTCACTGGAGAGGGTCCCTCGGCCAGCCCACCTTGGCGAGGGTGGCGGGGGTGGCTATGGGGGAGAGTTGGGGGTCCCTGGGTCATCTCAGAGGCTGATGACCACACACATTGAGTTCAAAGTAAGCTTGTTGATTTCCAGAAAAGGAATCAGCTAGAATATTGGCTAGAATCACACTGAATTTATAGTCAATTTGAGGAAGATTGACATTTAAAAACCCATGTGTCCTCTCACCCCACTCACCTTTCATTTCCTTCAGCTGAGATTGGCTCTCAGCGCTCATGAAATCCACATACCACTGGGTACCGTTTGCATGACTTAAAAGGGCTGCTATCTTATGATTCTGTTGTCTAATTGTTGCTGGTATTGAGATGTACAAGTAATTTTTTAATATTCATCTGTATCCATATTAATTTGGGGAGTTTTTAAATGTATTCTTTTTTTCTCTGTACACAATCACATTATGAATTTTATTTCTTCTTTCCAAATCCTCAGAAATGTTTTTCTCGCCTAGGGAGCTATTGAACAGGCATGGTGACAGTGTTATGAACTCACGAGTGCTGTTTGTGGCTGGACAGTTATCGACTCTGTTTATTGGACTGAGGAGGATCCCTTTGGTTCCTAGTGTTGGTTAAAAGATTCCACAATGAATGGAGTTTGCATTTTATCAATACTTTTCCTGCATCAATTGAGATGGGGTTTTCTCTTTCATCTGATAGTGTTGAATTACATTGACTTTTTAGCTTTAAGCCACCCTTGTATTCCTGGAATAAACCCACTGCATCAAGACATACTAGCATTTGTATATAATTCGGCCAGTTTTTGCTTAGGATTTTTTTGTTTGCTATCATGAGAGAGACATTTCCATAACTTTCCTTATTTAAAGTCTTTGTCAGGTTTTGACATCAAGGGTAATGAGGTGCCTCAAGTTTCACCTCCCCATATAAGACTCGAAAAGCACAGTTTTTCAAAAGCTCAACACTCGATTCTGGTTTCTCAGTATTTCTTAATATCTCCCATATGTTCGTTCCGAACAGCTGCTTTTCCAATAAGCAGCTTCCCATTTTTTAAAATGGTCACATGACATGCACTGCCTACGAGAATTTAAAGAATGAACTTAAACCTAACAACAATACAAAAAGATCTTAATGACCCAGATAATCATGACGGTGTGACCACTCACTTAGAGACAGAAATCTTGGAATGCAAACTCAAGTGGGCCTTAGGAAGCATCTCTATGAAGAAAGCTAGTGGAGGTGATGGAATTCCAGTTGAGCTATTTCAAACCCTAAAAGATGATGCTGTTAAAGTGCTGCACTCAATATGCCACCAAATTTAGAAAATTCAGCAGTGGCCTAAGGAATGGAAAAGGTCAGTTTTCATTCCAATTCCAAAAAAGGCAGTGGCAAAGAATGTTCAGACTACCATACAATTGCACTCATCTCACATGCTAGCAAGGCAATGCTCAAAATTCTCAAAGCTAGGCTTCAACAATACGTGAACCAAGAACACCTAGATGTTCAAGCTAGATTTAGGAAATGCAGAGAAACCAGAAATCAAATTGCCAATATTCGTTGGATCATAGAAAAAGCAAAAGCATTCCAAAAAAATATCTACTGCTGCTTCATCAACTACACTAAAGCCTTTGACTCTGTGGATCACAACAAACTGTGGAAAATTCTTAGAGATGGAAACACCAGACCACCTTACTTGCTTCCTGAGAAACCTGTATGCAGGTCAAGAAGCAATAGTTAGAACTGGACATGGAACAACAAACTGGTTCCAAATTGGAAAGGAGTACATCAAGGCTGTATATTATCACCCTGCTTATTTAAAGTATATACAGAGTACATTATGTGAAATGCCAGGCTGGATGAAGCACAAGCTGGAATCAAGATTGTCAGGAGAAATATCAATAACCTCAGATACGCAGATTGACACCACCCTTATGGCAGAAAGTGAAGAGGAACTAAAGAGCCTCTTGATGAAAGTGAAAAAGCTGGCTTAAAACTCAACATTCAGAAAACTAAGATCATGGCATCTAGTCCCATCACTTCATGGCAAATAGACAGGGAAACAATGGCAACAGTGACAGACTTTATTTGGGGGGCTCCAAAAATCACTGCAGATGGTGACTGCAGCCATGAAATTAAAAGACGCTTGCTCCTTGAAAGAAAAGCTGTGACAAACCTAAGCAGCATATTAAAAAGTAGAGACATCGTTTTGCCAACAAAGATCTGTCTAGTCAAAGCTATGGTTTTCCCAGTAGTTATGTATGGATGCTAGAGTTGGACTAACAAGAAAGCTGAGTGCCAAAGTATTGGATGCTTTTGAACTGTGGTGTTGGAGAAGACTCTTGAGAGGCCCTTGGACAGCAAGGAGATCAAACCAGTCAATTCTAAAGGAAATCAGTCCTGAATATTCACTGGAGGGACTGATGCTGAAGCTGAAACTCCATGCAGGCAGACTCCGTGTAGGGAGACAAGCCCTCCACCCTGTGCAGCTGGTAACGCCTCGTGCGCAGTAAGTTGGGGGCAGACAGTGACACAGAGTCCCCACATCCCAGAGGGGCTCCCCAACCCATCTGTGGGTCCACCGTGGGGGACACGGACAGACAGCCCAGGGGCAGGGTGAGCTGTCATGTGGTCCCCCCTCCCCTCCGGACGCTGACGGAGCCAGTCAGGCCAGTTTCCGACCACCAGGCCCCACCCCTAAGAGACGGATCTTAGAATGATTTGGCCAAGCTAACAGAACAGCAGAGTGAACTAAACTAAATCCAGGACATCTCCACGGGCCGAGGTGCTTATAGGATGCGTGTGGGGGGTTGCAGGAACATTGTCAAAACCCACTACTGACGTGGGCATCTGAGCATGAAGAAGGGTGGGTGTTGCACAAATATGAGAAAGCATGAATAACACGTATTTTATTACCCAGCTTCTTTTGGAGCTAAACACTGTTTGCCAAATATTCTCCCAGGAGGGGGAGAAATGAATCAGTGTTTCCAAACTGTTGGGCCATTTTGAAGTGCATTTGACTTACAGGACTGTATCAGTTTCAAGTGTACAAGATAGTGGTTTGACCCTTGTGGACATTATCAAATGACTAATGCGGTAAGTCCAGTTGCCATCTGTCTTCACACGAGCTTGTTATGATGCTGGTGCCTGCCTGAGATTTAGTTACTTTACACCTGGAGGTCTGAGCCTCTGATCTGTCACCCGTGTCACTCGTTGCCCCTCCTTCTCCCGTCTGGCAACCACCTGTTCATTCTCTGAATCTGTGACTCTGTTTCCATTTCTGTTTGTTTGCTGTGTTTCTTAGATTCCACATGTAAGTGAAATCACAGACTATTTGTCTTTCTCTGTTTAACACTTCACTTAGCGTAAATCGCTCCAGGTCCATCCACGTTGTCACAGATGGTAAGATTTTATTCTTTTCATGGGTTAGTAATATTCTACTGTATACATGTACCACAGCTTCTTTATCTGTTCGCCTATTAGTGGGCACTTAGGTCACTTCCTTATCTTGACTGTTGTAAATAGTGTTAGAATGAACGTAAGAGTGCCTGTGTCTTTTCAAATTACTGCTTTTGTTTTCTTCAGAAAAACACCCAGAAGTGAAGCTGCTAGATCCTAAGGTTGTCCTAGTTTTAATATTTTGAGGGACCTCCATAATTTCTTTCATAGTGACTACATCAATTTACATTCCCATCAACACACACTATTTAACATTTAAATCTAGGATATCTTTATTTTTATAACATAAAAGTGTTTCTTTATGTAACCTACAGTGGAAATGGTTCTTGATATACCTTATATCAGTCATGTCCAACTCTTTGTGACCCCAGGGACTATACAGTCCATGGAATTCTCCAGGCCAGAATACTGGAGGGGGTAGCCTTTACCTTCTACAGGGGGCCTTCCCAACCCAGGGATCAAACCCAGGTCTCCCGCATTGCAGGTGGATTCTTTACCAGCTGAGCCACAAGGAAGCCCAAGAATACTGGAGTGGGTAACCATTCCCTTCTCCAGCGGATCTTCCTGACCCAGGGATCAAACCGGAGTCTCCTGCATTGCAGGTGGATTCTTTACTAACTGATGGGAGGGACTGTGTCACCCGGTGAGGTGTGTGAGATGCAGGCAGAGGAAGGAGAGACCCCCGGAGGACCGTGTGGGACACGGGGACAGGAAGGAGAGCCCCCGCGGGGGGCCTTGTGGGACGCGGGGAGAGGAAGGAGAGCCCCCCCGGAGGACTGTGTGGGACGCAGGGAGAGGAAGGAGAGCCCCCCCCCCCCCGGAGGACCGCCAGGGGAGAGCCTGTCAGCACATCACCCCTCAGTGTGCCGGCGGGGGCACTGCCCTCAAGTCTGGAGAGTGAGGGGCATTGGATCCACCCATGTTCCTCACTCATCCTTTGCTTGGATGAGGCTCTGGGTCCAGGGGCCGACACCCATGCCTGAGGGTCCCATGCAGGGAGCCGGGGTTACTACAGAAACCAGAAGACACTGACATCAGCCTTCACCGTGTGCTTCAGAGGTTCCATGAACGAGAGCTGCAAATCCCAGAACAAGCCTTGCCCCATCCCCAAAGGAGAACCTCTTGGGCCCTCGAGGTGCATGCTACAGGCACTTTCAGGGGCACCAGGCCACACAGAGAAGTGACTGAAATGTTTGGCCGTGCAGATGAATAAAGCATTAAATTGGAACAACTTCTGCCACTTAAACTTTTAAATCATTCATTGTTAGAAAATTGGATGCAAAGCCATACTGTTAATAAAATAATGAGACTAAAAATATGTCATAACAAAATATATTATTCATAAAATATGTGACCATTTCAAATGCTCAGTACTTGAAATACCTGCCTCTTAATGTCCACTTTGCAGGGACTTGGCAGAGAATGAAAACCTAAGGTTCAGTCTGGGGAGTCTGGGAGAACCACAGTGAACAACAAAATAAAACTCAGATTTGTGGGTTGTTGCAGTGCTAGCGTGGGATCTGGTAAAACCTGTGTGTTTGTCTCCAGGCCTTCTGACTCAGCACAACGTTAACCAAGCTCGTGTTCAAAGTCTGAGTTAAGCATTAACACAAGGCTGTCGTCCGTGTCCTGGACAGCAGGCACCCTCGCTGGGCACACGGGGCTGGGGGCGCCACGGGGAGCATCCCACTAGCTGCATGACCTCCTGCCTGTCAGGGCTCTGCTGGGGTCCTCACGGAGCTGAGGCCACTCACAGTCCAGCGCCGCCCGGGCCTTCCCTGGGGGACGTCATCCCAGTGGTCCGCACGTCTGGGGCGGAAATCCCCTGCGATGGCCGAGGCACATCGCCTGGATGACCTCACGGGAGAGGCTGCCAGAGGCTGAGGCTGAGGCCATCTGCTGGGTCTGGCAGGAGTGGGAGCAGGAGAGGAGGCTGGGAAACTCCTGGATCCGTCATTCCGGAATGTTCCAAGTGGCTGACCCTCAGAGCCGATAAACGTCAGGTTCTATAGTAAGGTCATAAAACACAGGAAATGAGCACGGAGCTCCTGGCCATCAGGGTCCGCACAGGAGGGGCGTGTCACCAGGTTCACACCGCATCTGGGACTCAGAGCATCTCCCGCACTTAGCGGAGGCTCTTGAAAACCTGACTTTCTTCAGTAATCAGGCACCGACCTCCATGGTTCCAAAACGGTCACCCTCCCAACCTTGTGGACAAGGTTGCCCCAGGGCACAATGAGGTGGGGAGCAGCCCTGCCCTCTGGGACACCCGGTCAACCCTGGCCAAGGACATTCCCCTTGAAAAATCACACACAGAACTGTGGCCCAATGCTTCCCTCCCCAACCAGGTACCTGCCCCCTGGAAAGGGAAGGGGCGTGAAGCAACTGCCAGTCAGTGTGGCATTGCCCACGGTGCCCAGTAGGATCCCAAGGACACAGCGAGGCATCAGGATTCCTGCTCTAACAGAAGCTCCGAGGTCAGAGGACTGGGCTTCAGAAGCCAGCTCCTGAAGTTTGTTCATCCTCGGATTTTTATCAGCATCTTGCAACCCTGCTAAGATGGGCTTCAGGGGTTACAGTATATAAAATTCACATGCAACCAGAGCAGAAGGAAGCAAGGGAGCTCACTGGACCTGGCCCCCTTTTCCTCCCTGTCCAGGTAGACAGACGGGGTCACTGGTTCTGGCCTGTATGCCTCTGTGGGAAGACTTGTGCATACACCCTTTGTCATGTGATATGGCTGTGCTCCCCCAGCCCCATGATTCCAATGTGTTTTCTGCCCCATCGATGAGATTTCCATCAGCCAATCAAATGTTGTCAGATGTCCCAAGAACAGATGCATTAACACAAGTGCATGTGGCTTTGTCTCTCATACTCCATCAGTCAGGGGGAGCAAGGCCAGGTGGCCATAGGGCAAGGAGGGTGAGACACACATGATAAATTCATTGCATGAGCGTGAGAATAAGTGCCTCCTGTGAGCCACAGTATCCGGGCAGCTTGTCGCATGGTGTTGCCTCCTGAGCGTTGACTGATACACCTGCCTAATGCCACCTGTAAACAATGACTCAATCAGCTGACAGGCATCCATGAAACCCCAGATGCTCCCTCAGTCCTGTGAGAGCATCTGAGATGCTGGGGCACAACGTTCACTCTCAGAGCTTCCATCCCAACCTGGGAGGACCTGGGCATGATGGACCCACCTGGAGAGGCACTAAGATTGAAGTCCGTGGCCCAGATCATAAGGCCAGCAAAGGCTTAGCCAAGTATAAGAGAGGCTTCACACAGCATCCAAAGGCCACGTCAATAGGTAGGGCAGGCGGCTCTCAGCTGCCGTCATGGACACTGGGTCCACCAGGCCAGTAACGGGCAGGAGGGTGGGCCTCCAGTCACCGTTCCCCTCTCCCCGTCAAGCCACCGAGACCTCCAGACGCTGGCTGCTCCCCCACTCTCACGAGCAGACGGCTTCCCACCATTCGGCCTGTCTCCCACTGGGCAGGGGCCAGGCCAAGACAACTCAGCAATTTCTGTATCCAGAATGTCTAAGATGAGCGAGCAACAAGCAAGCTCTCCAAGAACCTCATTGCACCTTGGAGGTCAGGGCTCATTCTGCTTCCCCACGCCCAACCCAGTCTTTGTTTAGCAGCAGACAGTTCCTGAGATGGTCTTTGTCCCGAAACCTTGGAAACACAGCCGTTGGGGGCTCCTTGTTCTCCAAAACTGACTTCACTTAAGGTTTCATGCTAAAATTCCGGAGGGGGAGGGAATGAAGTCTAGACACAGGAAAGCATACACTGCACAAAGTGGATCCATCGATTCAGTCAAGGATAATTACCAGTCACTGTTCTGTAAAAGGTGACACTGACTGGCTCTTATTTTGCGAAATGGTTGGAAGATGGTGGACTGTTTTACATTCAGTCACAGTGAAGTGAATTCTGATTTCCGCTGACACCCATGGAAGTCAGAGTGGCTTCTGATAGAGACAGAGCCCACAGTGACCTTTACCCAGAAGACCAAAGCCCCGAATCTAAATCACGATCCTGAAGGGGCAACAGTTTAGCCAGTTCAGCCAGTTGGCCGAGATCTTAGCACCAAGTAATAGACACAAGCTTAAAAAGCCTGCATCACCACCGCAAATGTTAAGGGTCCAGCAGAACCAAGCTCCTGCCCACATCGCCCAAGCCTTCCACTTAGCCAAGAGGCCTGTGTCCTCCCCAGGTCCACATCCCTCCCCACCCCTGAAAAGCGGCTACAGCCTCTCAGAGCCCAGGAGTGGCCCCCCAAGGGAGGAAGGACCAGCCTCCAGGAGCCCCCCCGTCTTGGCGGGAACGAGCTGTCCTTTCCGGCTCGTTACCTGGTCCGTGAGGTCGAGCCAGCAATCTGCAGGTAACCTGCGTGCTGTTCTTTGTTTTCTCCACAGATGCTCTCAGTGTTGTGTGTCTGATTCACTGGACGTTGCCCTGTTTGTGGGCCTGTGGTCGGCCGATAGGCCCACTCCATGTCCCAATCCCTGGACCTGTGGATGTGTCCCCTCTCAGGGCCAAAGGATCCTGGGCAAGAGACTAAGACAAGAGACCTCAGGTTGGGACTGTGTCCCAGATGGTCCAGAGGGTCTGACCTGTGACACAGACCCCAGAAGACAAGGAGGAGTGTCTCCTCTGCAGAAAGGGGTCAGAGAGGCTGGAGGGTGAGAAGGACTCTGCCCACCATCGCTGGTTTGAAGGGACAGAGGCTGGACAGCAAGGAAGCAACCTCAGCCCTGTGACGGCAACAAGCTGAGCTGTGCCCATGCTGGGGGTGCCTCAGACAGAGGGGACTCGCCCCAGACCTCGGATGTGAGCCCACGCCTCCCTGTCACCCATGCAAGGCCCTGGCCAGAGGGCCCGACCGCCCTTGACCTGTGACTCACAGGAAGAGCTCACAGATGTGGGCCTTGACTACTTCGTGCAGGGGACCTGTTATAGCAGCCTCCAAAAACTGTGCAGGGACATTGGCACGTTTGACCCAGAAAAGTGCTGCACATGGCCACCCCTGCCCACGGGGTCAGGGAGCAGATGCCCCAGATGGCACATTGCCGCCACTTGCTGACCCTCCTGATCCACTCCTGGAACCAAAGTAACAAACAGAAAATGAGGGAAACAGCCAGCTTTCCAAAAGAACAAGATAAGCCAGAGAGAGTGGACAGAAAGATCTTTTAAAAAAAAAAATGAGGGCTTAGTGGCACAAAAGTCCGAAACTTGAAATGAACGTGTGTAAGAAAGAAAAAGAAAAGAAAGTGAAGTTACTCAGTCATGTCCAACTCTTTGCAACCGCATGGACTGTATGTAGCCTACCAGGCTCCTGCTCCATGGGATTCTCCAGGCAAGAGTACTGGAGTGCGTTGCCATTTCCTTCTCCAGGAGATCTTCCAAACCAGGGATTGAACCTGGGTCTCCTGAATTGCAGGCAGATGCTTGACGCTCAAAGTGTAGCTTGTGTTAGGAATTCCCAAAAGGGGAGCCATGGGCCCCAAGACACCATCCAGTCTGCCTCCTTGAGCCACAGGCCCCCAGAGAGCCCCCGAGTCTCCCGCCTTTAGCCGCATCCGGGTGACCTCGGGGGAGGGCCGGGTAGGGTCTGGGATGAGGCCGGCCAGGGTCCCGCACAGAGCTCAGCGTGGGGCAGACAGCACGGTTCACCTGCCCGCCCAGGAGGGAGCAGGCCGAGGGGAAGTGGGGCGCTGACTGCGGCCCCGGCCCGAGGTGAAGAGCCCCTTCCCTCCTGGCTCCTCCCCGTCGCTCCAGACCCACAGGCCCAGACCCCTCCTCCCCCAGGCCTCCCTGCCCCTCCTCCAGCGCCCCTCCTCCAGCGTCCGCTCTCAGACGCACCGCCGCTCGCCCCCCTCCTCTGCCCCGGGCTCAGCGCCCTGACTCGGCTTCTCCAGCCCCCGCCCAGCAGCCCCCAACCACACTGACCGAAACACGGGCTGAAGCCCCCAGAGGGCAGCTCAGAAGCAGGACAGGCCCCAGCCTGGTGTGGGGGGCAGGTTGGGCACGGGCTCATGTGAAGAAGGGTCGGGTGCCACACCCCGCGTGTCCATACCGCCCAGAGTCCCCCGGACACAGTCCAGTGGCTACAGCCGCTCAGGCCTGGAGGAGGCTGGAGCCGGGGCCACGGAGGGAGGGCCCACGTCATGCCAGGTTGGCTTCCGACTTGAGCTTCACGTGGCTGCTCGGGAAGCACTGGCCACACAGCTCTGGGCTGGACGCCGAGGGGAGCCGGTGCTCGGGTCCAGGGCCATGCAGATGACCACAGAGAGGCCACAGAGGGCTGGGGCACAGCCAGAAATGATGGGAAATCACCGCGGGATGGCCAGCTGCCCTCCAGGAAGGCGCTCGACGCTAGGACCCAGAGCAGCAGGCCTCGCTCCATCCCCAGCCTCACTTTGTTTTGTTGCAGTGATGGCAGGGTCATCCTGATCACGTCTGTGCTTTGAGCTCATAAACTAGGTGTGGGCACCGCAGGATGACAGCGGGTAAGGAGTCAGCTCGGTCACGGGTGCTCATAATTCAGCCCCAAGTCCCGGGCAGGCGGCAAGCTTGTGAGAGCTCCAAGTTCAGGGGCTGACTTACACCAGTGCCACCAGCCTCTCTCTGTCCTCTGCTTCTCACATCTGACATGGGAAACGCAAGTTTTAATGATTGCGAGACAAGTTATCGAGGATTCTTAAGGAAAACATTTAACAGTTTTGTGGAAGACAGATTAAGGAACAGTTATGGTGGCATCAGACCAGCAGGAAGAGAAATTAGCAGCTCTTGCCGAGGACTCGGTGAAGGCAGACAGTGTCCATCACTGCCCCAAAGAGCATTTATGCTCCTTGAACCCTCTGATGCTTTGAGCAGAGTCCATGTTCGTCCAGAAACAGAAACTTACCTTCATCTCGGAAACTCCTGGAAGTCTCTTCTTTTCCAAACCCTTCTGTCATCCTGGGTTCACCCTTCCATGTGCCAACCTTGAAACTTCACATGTTCCAGGTGGCGCTAGTGGCAAAGAACCCACCTGCAAACACAAGAGATGTAAGGGATGCAGGCTTGACCCCTGGGCTGTGAAGGCCCCCTGGAGGAGGGCACGGCCTCCCCCTGCAGTGTTCATGCCTGGAGAATCCCATGACAGAGGAGCCTGGGAGCCTGGTGGGCTGCCGTTCACGGGGTCCCAAAGAGTCAGACACGACTGAGTAACCTAGCACGCACGTGTTTGTACCTGAAACATTCCTACCACGTGATGGAAACACCTCTTTACCTCCCTCGGGGGAAGATGAGATTTTTGTATATCTCATGTCCGCCCACAAATAATGAGCAATACCAGCCCAATGTCAACCAAAATAGGTTTGCAGAATCGTGATTCCTGACGCCTTCCTCTTTGATAAGAGTCTTCAGGATGTAGTCCCGTGTTTGTGCTAGGTTGACGTGGCATGAGATGTTAACATGCTACCATGACATGCTAAGTCCTGTCAACAGGAGGGTCTGACTGTTTAAGGGCCACGTCAGGGAGCACGTGGTCTGTCTCTGCCCCTGGCTGCAGGGGGACAAGACCAGCACAGGATAGGAAACCAGCCCGTGTCCGTCTGACGGGGGCCCGGGCCCTGCGACCAAGTTCACGTCACCCAGAAAACCTTGGGGAACAACCGAGAAAAGGCCAGCACACCTGCTTCAGCAAGGGCACCCGGGCAGGAAGCGGACTCGGGACCGTGGGGAAGAGCGTGTTGGCCCCGCACCATGCTGACCAGCTGATGCCCCTGGTTCACGAGTCAAGGACATCCGTTGCTCACACAGAGCAAGCAACCCCGCAGGTTTTCACTGGCCATTCAGCTTTGGCATTTTTACCTGTGATTCGGTTGTGAAATACCACCTCTCAGTTCCTGAAGAAGGGGCTGCAGCCGTCATCCCCATGGTGGACAGCTCTCCATGGGCTCTGGAGCCATCTGCCCTCTCCACGCCCAAGCCGAGGCGCGGACTTATTTTTCTGTGTCAGTTATCGTCACACTCCAGCTGTCTCTGTGGCCTTTGAGACAAGAGGGATTTATTCGACCTCATGCTAATGTTTTGTCTGTTTCTGTTTCTATGCAAGGAAATGTTTATCTGTCGAGAGCACATTCCTAGGACATTTGAACTGATAAGGAAACACATAATCCCAGCCTGCAGTGTTTGTGTTTGCACACCTGATTCCATCCAGGAGCTTGTATAAGAACAAAGGCATTAAAACAGAAAGAGAGACACAGATGTACAGAACAGACTTTTGGACTCTGTGGGAAAAGGCGAGGGTGGGATGTTTTGAGAGAACAGGATCGAAACATGTATATTATCTATGGTGAAACAGATCACCAGCCCAGGTTGGATGCATGAGACAAGTGCTCAGGCCTGGTGCACTGGGAAGACCCAGAGGGATTGGGTAGAGAGGGAGGTGGGAGCGGGGATCGGGATGGGGAGTACATGTAAATCCATGGCTGATTCATGTCAATGTATGACAAAAACCACTACAATATTGTAAAGT